TGTGTGTGTGTGTGTGTGTGTGTGTGTGTGTGTGTGTGTGTGTGTGTTTTGAGAGCTGGAGAAAGAGAGAAAGGATTATGGTAACACAAGCAGTCTGGCTCATTCAAATGGGGGAAACACCACAAGGCTCTGGTTTGTACAACACACACACACACACACTCTCTCTCTCTCTCCTCGTCCTTCTCTTCTCCCCTTTCCACCAGGGCCTCCATCCAGCGAGGGCAGCCAAGAGAGGGGAGTCGGGCCCAGATAACTTCCCGTCTTATCCCAACAGGATTCAGTCTGTACACAAAGGCCTATACGAATAATGAAAGGGGGTTTGGGAGCACTTGAAGCAGGGTTAAGCGGCGTACACAACCTCCTCTCTTATGCGCTAAGAGCGTCACAATCCCCCCCAGACCCAAAAACAAAAGGTTCTAATCACAGACTAGCAACTTAAATACTATTTACCGGTGGACCTCAGCCACTGAGCCGGCCTTAGAGACAGAAGCCTCTCACTTAAGCCGGGATAGCATGCAGTGTCTGTGATTAAATGAAAAGAAATAAATCAAACCAAAAACAAAACAGGCTTTGATCCTCTTTGTAAAGAGTCATGACCCAGAAAGCCAGACCATACAATTGCAGAACTTTTAGACGATAAAGGCTGAAATTCTGTGCATCATTTGTCAGAACCAGGTGGGCAATAAGGAGATTTTTTTAATACATTATTCTAGATATTTTGTGATCCATCTAGTTACATTGCAAACGTCTCATTTCACAACTGAATTTTCTAATAGTTGACCAAATCTTTGTTTTGTTACACAATCCAATACAACACTACCAAAAACTACATGCATGGTCTCCAACATGGCCTCAAATGACAGAATAAAACTAAAAGAAATCTCCATAAAAGGGCTTTTTTATTACAATGCAATAACAATCACTCATCATTTTCTACAAATTATACAGTTAGACGATTATTTGACTGGCTGGTGTAGGCAAGTTGAGCATCTGCATATGACCTGATTCAATTTATTTTCTTATATAAAAAACAAAAGGTTCAGTAGGTCACAGTCGAGCTTACTTGCCTCACTTTGTGCCAAGAAAGGCCCTGAATTTATACTATTTACTTTGGCTTCGTTTCTCAAAGTGGATGAGCATCTTAACAGATTATGCAGAGCCTCATTAAATCAATAGCATACCAAAGAGGCCCCCCATTTTAGAGAATTCAAACAAGCTGCTAGTGTGTTGATCAAAGCGCTGTGAATGTTTACTTCACATTTGCATTAAAATGCAGCTGTCAAAGATGTTAGGAGGAAACAGAGATAAGGTCATCCATCTAATCTCTCCCTTCTGCCTCTCCTCCGAAATAGTATCCGTGTCAACACGGCTGTGTTCTGGAAAAAAAAACAAAAAAAAAACGACGGTGTTGCGTGGGAGGTTCGTGCCTTCTGACGAGTACGTCTTTGTGTCAGGTGCGTAGAACGAGGTGGGGGATTTGTGGAAGGTGGGGAGAGAGGGGTAACACAAAAAAAGAGGAAGGAGGCTGCCTAGTAGAGCACAGATTGGAGTCTGGAGGAGATGACCGAGTTAACCCCACAGGCCTGTCACATCCCATTCTCAGCTTCACTGAGCAACACAGGGCTGAGGACCAAAAAGAGTGGGAGCCCAGTCACATGCTCCTGGCTAACTCACCAAGCTTAATGATTTGGAAGAGAGGACTAGGCTGAATCAAACTAATTTAAGAGCGGGCTCCGGATGTACTCTATCAAACAACCATCACCTGATGAATCAGTGAGTCGTATAGCCGAAGGAGAGAAGCCAAGGATGGCGAATGAGGTTCTAGTCGGGGAAACGGAGAAGAATTAATTACTCAATTTTCATGCAAACCAAGTTACTGTCCAATGAGAGATAAAGAATTAAACAGTGCGGTGTATTTCCTCTGGTTGGCAAAGAGACAAACCCTTGACACAAATAAGATGTATTACAGCAACAGAACCTTTCCGGGCAAACTTATCTGTGAAACCTTAAAGACAACAGCATGGGCTAAGAGGGAATAAGAGAGGGAGAAAAAAAGATGAAGATGCACACAAGTTGCCCCTAATTGCACAAGGTTTTTCCTTGTTTGGTTGACATCATTTTGTCTTCCAAAAATATTTCTCCCCCCAAAGCCATATTGTATTCCACGTGACACAGGAGTGGGGGTGGTGTGTGTGTGTGTGTGTGTGTATATATGAGTGCACGCTTGTGTACCGCCGATCACACAGAAAACGCATTGTTGGACGGCTCCTAAACAACACCGCAGATTGTTTCCTGCTGACAAAGAAAGGTCTGGTTTCTTCGTGGTGAAACGGGGCCGATTTACTGCCTGTGGCTTCGAGACTGGAAACAGAAGAGAGTGCAGCTCACCGAGCAGGCAGCAGAAATGTTATTGACATTATTCAATTGTATGAAGCCGGAGGAGAGAAAGAGAGTTGGAAAAATAAATCCAAAACCACAACACGGGTAACCGATGACGGAAGGAAATCATTTACACTAAATATAGCAAACTTATTCTACACAGAGTGGCACCGACCTCTCCGGCTTACTGAAGATGTGTTCGGCTACAACCAAGCAAAATGAGACATCGGAATAGGTTTCATTAAATGACCTCATAAAACTCAGCCCACATTCCTCTACCTTTTGTTGGAACCAGTCCCCGCACAGTAGCGCTCACCTCTGGCGAATAAGAAGACCGAGGTGTTGTAGCAGAGCACGTCTTATTCAATCTCTATAGACGCCATTAATTCTTTATGGTCTACTGCTGCCCAGCCTTGTCTATAGGTCTCTGAGCAAAATTTTCTCTTCACCTTTTTGAGTTCAGCGATGCTGACAAGCAGTCAAGGCACCCTGTGATTCTCTGAGAAGTCTGTGTATTTTCATTTTCTGTGTATATTACCCATCCACATAATCCGCGCCCACAGTCCGTTACACCCGTTAGTGCGTACGCGGCACCGACAGCTCTCGCTCTTATGCCCGCAGGTCACAAGTTCAGCTTGAGATCAACAATTCATGAGTCCCTGTAAACATGCAGAGGCAACGCGGTGCAGGGAGTGAGGAGAGCCGTGGACGATGTGTTGCTGTGCGATGTCTGCAGTTGTGTGTGAGATGAGGATAGGGGGGGGGTGGGTTGATTCATAGAGCCTCTGAACTGGGGCATAATACTATTAAAATCACAGATGGAATTATGTGGCCGCAGTAGAAGAGGCCGCAATAGAAGAGGCCGCAATAGAAGAGGCAAAATGAGAAAGAAAAGAGTAGACAGGATGAGGGCAAGTGACCCCCAAAGGCTAATCAGATTTTATAGATCAACCGGAATAAAAGGCAGATTGCGCCCTTTGTCCTCTGAAATGCCTGAGGGCGTCCGGCTCTAATGTAGGGAGGGAGGAGGGTTGGAGGCCGGCATAAGTTATTGAACGTCTACACGGGCCATGACCATTGTTGTTCGGACACGGCCAATGCCAGATTGAAATTGATTGGCCGATTGTAAATCAGTAAGCGAAAAAAGGATGCAGACGTATGACAAACAGTATGGCTGCTCTGACATGCAGGATGAAAGAATAGAGATGTGTGGTATTTTTACTCCTAACCCTGTGTCAAAGCAACACAATTACGTTTGTATCAGGCAGCATGCATCCTTTACTCTGTGAAATTAAAGATTTCTAAATGTTGTGGCGCATTATAGTATTATTTGTCCAACTAAGTCAAACATGAAACGCTCCAATCTGTCACAGTCTCATCAGAACTAAACACTCCGAGGCAACAAAGTCTTGGGTTTACGTCCATTCGTTCAAGTTGAAGATTTCCAACTAAATCTAGCTTAAAAGCTTTTATTTTGGAAGATTAGCAAAGGATCAAGAACATTGGTATTAATACCAGTCAGCAGCCCCGTATAAGATTCCTCCACGTGCACAAAAGTAGAGAGTCCAGTGGACACAGACGTATATTCAAATTAAAAACAACACGGACCATTTAAAGATGCACGTTTGAATAATTCAAAACTGCCCTACATAGTGTTAAATATGCAGTATTGCCGCCAGCAAAAAAACTCATCTTTCGGGAGGCCACAGCTCTTAAACCCTTCTCTATTCTAAGCAGAGGAATATTCCTGCACCAGATAGCGGACGCATAGTCTCGATGTAGCCTCGAGTTTAGGGAGGGGTGTAATGGCTCGTCTCAGATCTATGGAAGAGGAAGGAAGAGGAGGACTCCCAGCCTGTAATTTACTGGGGGCTCTGTGGGCCAACACCCTGGCTTGCTTACTGAAGAGCTCTTATCCTCTTTGTAGCAAAGGTAATCCTTATCAACAACTCCGAGAACACCTGGGGCCACATATCAGCTGACGGAAACCTCTTTGAAGAAAATACTGCATCTTGATAAAGACTGTAATAGTCAAACATCAGTCAACAACACATAAAAAAAAAAAAAATAGCCTGAAAAGCGTCACACACACACACACACACACACACGTTGCTTTAAACGGCTCCTGTCCTGAAAACACACAACATCGAAAAAAAGTTTCAACAGACCTGTAGTACGAGTGGTTCCGGGTTGAATGCCAAAGTCATGAGCAGCTGCATTCTCTCCGTGTCTTTGAGGTTCTTCAGCAGGAAGCTGCCCGAGTCTTTGGTCTCAGCATACCTGCGGACCACGCGGTCCAGCAGCCTCTGAGAGGGGCAGTGCACCAGGTCCGACCAGCCCTCCACCACCTCCGGAGTGAGCAGACGGACGTCGCCGTTGATCCGGGCAAATTCGGTCTTGTACATTGCCTGGATGAGGTCACAGCGGGGCCTGCCAGTGGCCCGCTTGCAGATCTTCTGGTCTATCTCCGCCAGCTCCTGGTTGGAGCCGAGCCTTTTGAGCACCACGCGGCGGGTGCCCTCTCTGGGCTCCCCGTACTGAGCGAAGTAAACGTTCTTGACGTTGAAGACGTCTAGGAATCGCAGGCGACCCCAGGTCTCGAAGGAAACCTGGCCGTTCATGAACTTGCGGCACCAGCTGGTGCCAAAGCAGGCGGGACACTTGTTGAGGTTGATGAAGCGTCTGTCGGTGAGCTCATTCTTCTGGAAGGAGGCGAACAGGTTGTGGGTGTTCATCAACAAGATGACAAACAGCCCCACGACCAACAAGAGCTTCAGACAGCGGTACAGGCGGCCAAGTTTGAGAGGCAGGAAGCGCAGCATGATGGGGACGGGGCAGGGCGGGGGGGACGGGGTTGTTGAGGGGATAGGGAGGAGGAGGAGGAGGAGGAGGAGAGGTATTGAGACGGTCGTCAGGGAGCAAACCTCAATGCCTCTCCGTCATGGTGTACCGGGGATGCTTCTAAAGCGGCAGGCAGGGGCGAGGTTGGCACAGCTGCCCCGTGCCAGTCTCTGGTAGGGGCCAGTGAGTCATGTTCTCCCTTCCTGGTGTTTTGTGTGCAACCTCGAGCCAGCAGGCCTGAAATCAAGCAAAGAGAGGGAGAGGGGGGGGGGGGGGACTCATTACATCAGGGGAAATGAAAAAAGCTACATTTCACAAAACGGGAAAAACACGGAAACCAAATGAAAAAGGTTTATCTCATTTGTTTCTGCAACTTGAACACCAAAGTCCTAGGATGTGATACCCCCAATAAAACTCACAAAAAACACTTGAAATACACAAATTCTAACTGCGAGGGTCATTTAAGAGACTTCAGTTTTTGAGCAGAAATAAGATGGCCATTAGCCAATGCAATAAACCTGCCTGTGCCTGTCTGAGCACTTTCTCTTTGAGAAATGATATCTTGTATACTCCCCCAAAATAGAAAAAGATAAATAACAGTATGAGAAAGGGAAAAACAGTGTCAATGATCAAATTAAGAGGAAATGTACAACATCCTCCCCTTGTATAAATAAAATGTGCTGCATTGCGAGGATGATTCCTCAGAGGACCTTCCTCTGCCGCTACAGAAGTATCCATCACTTTTCCCCCCCCGATGCACAGCAAAATAACAATCCGCCTGCATACCTCAATAGATACTCCGAGCTCAGAAACCGTAATGTTCCTTCTCCTCGCTTCAAATGGAGAAGTCTCACTTTGCATTGTGGAGATTCACGCTGTGCGTAGTTTAACCTTTGATCAGAGTTGCCCTGCCTCGTTTCAATCAGGCTTTGAAGTGGTTTCTTTGAAAACGGCTGGTGTCACTAAAATAACGTACGTGGTTGAAGGAGAGAATCTGTGAACACATCTATTAGGCACATCAATGTCAGCAGAATGGTGGGAACTAACGCATGGAAGAAAAAGACAACAATCTGGCTTCACAGTACAAGAAGAATCTAAGAAGCCTCTCAAGCCCCCCCCCCTCTGTAGCCCACAGTGAAGCCATGTTAGACCCCTCAATCAATCAGCTTTTTAGCAATGAGCCTTGTAAGTCTTCTAAGTCGCTTTAAGAAAGACAATGACTCGGGCCATGCAAATTAGCAATCCTCAATTAGAGCTCATTAGGACGTGCCTATTAGGACAGCCGACTTCAGAGGGCACGGCACGCTAGTGTGATTAGCGTGCGTGTCGATGGGTTCCTCACGTTTCGCTTTCAGATCGAAGTGGCTGAGATCGGGGGAGACACGGGGGGCTCGAGGCGGCCAAGAGAGCAGCGGTTGCGAGTGATGCGCGGCTGCGGAGTGTCAGATAAGAAGCCGAACGCAATAGTTCCTATACCTCACACCCCTGTCTGAAAATACACCGAGCAGATCAGGCCAACATCACTCATGTAAAAATAGACCGTATCCAAATAAAAAGGGGAACTACAGACAGCTGCACTAAATCACATTTTTAAGAAAAGAAAAATATGATTCATGCATTTCTTTCCTCACCACAAATCTAAAAGTCAAGCATTGTGACTCAACAATGAACTTATGCTTTACTTCTCTGTACCAAAAGTAAGGCAGAGATAACGAGTTACTTTACATCTATGAAATAGAAGCTCTTAAAATCTATTTTTAAACTAAAAATGTGCTTTAAATCTTAATGTAACGTGTCAATTTCCCCAAGACATGGGTCAGCATTTATTTATTTAACTATTATAATGGTCATTTTACAGTTTGGATGTTAAACACTTTCTTGAATATACTGGTTACTTATTTAGTCTGGAACAGCTTTTCATTGGGCAAACTAAATAAAGAAACTCAAAATCCACATCAAGCCGACTTCAACAAAATGCCTCCAGTGTGATAAATTAACAAAAACCTCTCGGTCGCATCCATTCAGAAAGAGCTAAGAAGAAGGCCAACAAAATAATTTATTCGTGTGAAAAATTAATACAATTTCTGCCAGATATTCATATTAAATTGGGAAAGGAAGATGGATTGGGAGATGGGAAATAAAGAAACAAAGTCTGTATGAAGAAACCTCCCCAAAAAACAACAACTTCAATAGAAGCCAAAAGGATGTGTGCCTTGTGCCTCGTACTACAGGGAGCGAGAGGAAGCTCATCGCTTGAGGGGAAAACTGAATATCCCGTTGCTATAAGATCTCGATTCAAGTGCCATTTAGCATCTAACAGAGGCAGTCGCAGCACAGACGGGGCTGCGAGATCTCGAGTGCAGATATGAGATTTAACTAGGATCAGCAGACGGCTCAAAGAGGACAAAACATAACCTCAGCCAGGCGCAGAAGACGATCAGCCCCTTCTTCCTTTAGCGAGAGTAGCAGAGAGCCAGGGCGAGCTGGAACAAGCCCCACGAACATGACCTGGACACGGGCGGAGGAATGCGACACGAGCTGGCCGGTTAACGTGGGGAGGAGGCGTGGCTTCTTCCTCCTCCTCCTCGTCCTCTCCAAAGAAACCAGTTAAGGCCTCAATTACCTCCGGAGCGTTACCTGGATTATGTCAATTATCGTACTAATTGCTGAGGTGTAAGGATAAGCCACATGCTGCATTTTGCTAGTGAATGAGAGACAGCCAAGGTGTTTAAAATGCTTAAAATATTGACAATGAATTGCACGAATGTGCCACCGATGGCTTACCCCTGATCCTGTACTTTTGTTTGGCATGAGGCAGGCAAGTAGAAGAATTGAAATGCTACCAGATTAGAGTTTTTTATATTACTCTGTGTGCTGCTGCTACACAGAGTAATAGTGTGAATAAGACCAAACATTCAGCTGTATTGGAAGGATGCATGATGATTTAGGACGGGGGATTTTCCCTGGCGATTACCCGACCAGATGGCCTTTATTTTTGTCATTTTTACACCTGCAAAACCATCACTATTTAACTCCCTCGCTGTCTGCTGCTGCATGCCACCGCAAGGCTGACAGTCATCCAACAGGACAAGCAGACTGTATAGAGCTCAAGGTTGCCGATACAGGTATTTGACGTGGGTAAAGTTCACTTAAAGCTCTAAATTGAAGCCAGATGCTTTGTATTCCAACACAGATGTTACCCACCGGAATAGAAGGGCAGTGAAACTTAAAGCAGTGTTTTCTTTTGGACAAACCTCATTGTGACCACAGAAAACGGGTGTTTTAAATTACCCCACCCTCCTCCATTCCTCCCCCACGGTGCCTCTGCTCCTTCTGCACTCCGTCAGAAGGAGGGATGCACAATACCAAGAGGGAAACCTCGTTTAGAGTAAGCACCAAAATTACCTCTCATCACACACACACACACACACACACACACACACACACACACACACACACACACAGCCACCGCCAAAACTGGGGTAAGAAAGTTTTTCAGCGTACTCTAGTCTACAAAGTACTGCGGCGAGCACTTCGAAAGAGAGGCAAAGAAAAGAGTGCAAATCAAAGGAAGCCTGACTCCTCATGCATGGGAGATGAGTCTCGCATTCAAAAATGTTCCAAGTTTGGCAGATGTTAAGAGCTGCAAAATGGCTCATTACTGAGACAGAGAAGGCACAAGATGAAGCAATCGGCCCCATGTTGGCTTAAAACAGAATGACAAAGGTCGAGACAGAGGACGATAAAATCGTAATATCCTAATATTTTAACTTTTATTTAAACTTAGATTTTGACAGAGTAACCCAGATAAGAAAGAAGCTTGGGCTTGGAAGAGGAAAATTTCCTTCATGAATAATCTTTTCCACAGCTCATTGTGTAGACCTGGTTTCAGATACTGGCGTACAAGGGCCAGGCTACTCTCGGGCTAACCCATTTCCTTCACTGCACCTGAGGCTAAAATTCATTAGGATATAATGAAGTCAAGCCACACATGAACATGCTTGATTAATTCCACTGGATGTGCAAAAAAAAAAGAAAAAAAAAAAAGACGAAGTGTTTAAAAAAAGGACACAGTGTGGATGGGTTTGGGGAGAGAAAGAGAGAGAGAGAAATACAGAGGAAAGATACCACTAATGCATAGCTAATTGACAGCAAGGTGAACTTTGAGCCATTGCTCTTGTGATGGAGATGAATGCAAAGAGAGCACACGAATACAGAGTAGCAGGTCTCCATCTCTCAATGGATGCACACAAACATTAACACGTCTAGCCACGAGAACGTCAGTATTGCCACCAAGCCCCCCCCCCCTTCCATTGCAATGTGGGGCTCTAGCTGGAGAGAGGAACTACTGTTGCCAAGGTTATCGACTGGTGGAGTCAATAATGATTGTTTTTTTTGGTTTCTTTTGATCATTCAGCCACCACCATCGGATTTCCTCAGCACAGCAAACACGTAGGCGGTGACGGGTAGATACAAACGACAGCAACATTCGGGGCCGCCTAATGGAAAATTGAGTCCTCGGAATAGAAGCATCAATTAGCAGAAACCCCACATGAGCATTAGTCCATTCATCTCTGGCCAGAACCAAACGGCAGAGGCTTTAATGTGAATATCAATGGCATCTGCTTTTGCGACCAAACTTGACGCAGCCGTTCGGAAGGACACCGCTCGAACCGGGCAGGCTTGCTCTGGATTCTTCCACTGATGAACACGTTTGTTTTGTTTGATTTAAAACAGCTGCACATTTTAACAAGCCAGCATCGTTCTGCGGCAGTTTGAAAAGTTGTCATACATTGAAATATCATGTTAATTCCATTGCTAAACAAAAGTGTCATCTAATGGAAGCTACACCTGGACTGATTAAAACAAGCTGTCAAAACAAGCTTTAGTTTAAACAAATGAGAAATACGTTTGGCGGGGGGGGGGCTAAAATTGATTACCTGACAGACATTCATTATTCCATTTAAAATCACTCCATCTGTTGTAGAAGTCGCTTTATCAGAGTTTGATTTGGTGAGTTTAAAAAGGTCAAAAACTATAATGTACCTGAGAAACATTCAAATCAACCACCAGCAGGAAGTCTGAAGTGAAATTTCAACGGACTTATTATAGACGTCGTCTGAACCAAACGGTACGACTGTTGTGATAATATATTTTTCTTGGAAGCAATCAAGGGCAGAAGTCTGCAATGAGCGTGCAATCGCAGACTTGTCATGGCCAAGTCCATTTAGCCATGATTGCAATTTAAGGTATTCTAAAAACGGGGGTGGCCAATGGGAGGGAGACTAGTGGAATAATTAATTGGAGTATCCAAAAATGACCCAAGTAAATAGGAAGCAATGCAAAAACATGTTTTGTTGGAGAAATACTTTGAATGAAAAAGTGTTAATGGTGCCTCAAGCAAATAAATATCTTCTTATTTCATATCTTCTTGTTGCTATAATACATGTTCTGCACACAAATGATCAAAGGAATATATGTTTATAAGTATAAGGGACACTCCATTGTAGTTTGGTACATTGTGTTGTTTTGCAGTCATTAAGTTGCGTTTAGGAACCAGTGACTAATGTTCTGCCAAAGAGATTAATTGTAACGTAACGCTGAGATGCCAAAGACGGTTTCTGTTGAAACAAAATAACATCCCCAGCATGTGGGCATCTGATAAGAGAGTTTGATCATCATTTCATCAGCTCTTCAGCAACAGTGACGCTTCAAGTGTCAAGCATGCTCTCATATACTGAAAAACAAAAAAAGAAATGTAAAGAGTTCATGCTTTTTTTTTTTTTTTTTTAGTCAATTATTCAAGTCGAGGTTTCACAACATCACCCCGTGCACAGTTCACATTATAAACAGTCTTAGTTCAACACGGTTTTGCAGTGAGAAGAAGAAACGGTGAGGAACAAACCTGTGTGACTTTCCTCCTCTCCGGGTCGGTAGTAGTGTAACGCTTAGCGCTCCGTCGAGATCATTCTTTAAAGTTGCGGCTGATACTTCAAATCACCGCCGACAGCATGCGGAGCGGAAACCGCTTCTTCTTCAAAAAAAAAAAAAAAAAAAAAAAGCTCGACGAAGATCGCTATCAGGCAAACTCACACGGGCTTCCCATTTCTAGCTCCTGGGTATCGAGCCAGCTAGCCCTGCTAGCTGCAGAAATAAACAGTTTGGGATCTCGAGTCTTAACTCTTCGTAAACCGGATCTTTCCGACTGGACGACGCGGTTCCTCTTCACAAAAGACCCCCAGCGCCTGTGTTGTGCGTGCACGTCAGTAACTGTCCGCTTATCGCGAGTCCCTTTGTGTTACGCGGAATTGCCTCCTCTCTTCCTCTCTCGTGCAGCAGCTCACTCCTCTCCAACAACCACAATGGGTTCTGTTTCGAGTCTTTTCAACACCAGCCTCTTTACCCTTTACGACACCCGCTGTAGGGTTTACGGCAGCGGTTGCTAAGCGAGTATTCTAATATTGTCTTGTCTGGAATACCGCCCCCAGAGCAAAGTTTGCCCAATTTTCTATTTCTCTCTCTCTCTCCGTGTCTCTGTCAGTCTGAAAGCGACTGTAGAAGATAGTGACATAATCTAAAAATAAACTCAGCTCAACATGCAACACAAATCCACGTGTTTAGAATAACAATGCTGAACAAGAAGTGGTAGATTTATTTAAAGAAACTTTCAACATGAAAGTCTGCTGTTTATTTAAAGAGATTCTGTACACAATATTACAGACATACTGCAGTCATAGTGTAATAAAGCATTGGAAGCACGTGGCCTTAACTTAACCGGAATCAGAGGTGTCAGTGTCAGAATTCCACTGAATACCTGATTATGAGGAGATCACCCTGCAAAAATAATTTGATCAAGGCGAAGATGATAACTCTTCATTAATATTTAATTGGATTGTGAGCCCAGCTTCATATATGAAAACCAGCCCTTGGTTTACACATTTGAAAGCTGGACTTGTAATAGGACCAGAGGGCCTAATTCAACCATGTTAATTTCAATGTTTAAGTTGACAGTCTGCAGTCAACACTGGTGACACATTCAGCAGGCTATTTCTAAGCATTTCCAAAGGTTTTTACATGTTTATTATTTTTGGATAACAATCGAAGTAAATCATCATTACCTTACTACCTAAAGACTATTGTTTTAATGAAGTGCCAATTCATCCTTGATTCACTTGGAGCTAAGAGACAGAAAGTGGAGATTCCGTCCGGCCTCTTGCAGTGGGCTCCCACGAGCTCCGCGTGAATTAGTTTGAACATACTGCCACCTGCTGGGAAATCAGAGGCGGACATCCAAAGTGTGATGCATCGAGGTGCTTTGGGAAATACCGGAATATATAACGATATAACGTCATGAGCCGTGTCAGTAGGAAAATCTATTTTGTTTTTACATTGCAAACAGGCTTTAATTTGGCTTTCTAAGACAATAGTAATTAGATCTTGTCCAGATGTTATGTTTCAGTGCTCTCGCATTTTACTTGCACGCACGTCTCATACACATCTGTTGCATTGGTACTTTAGCAAAACAGCTTTGTATCTTTTGATTTGTAAAATATACATGCTCACAAAAATACCTTTACTACTTAATCAATTTAGTAGTTTCCCTTAAATTGGACAAAAGCTGAGATTACCAATCACCACTGAACGCAGCGCGAGCTCTCGAGCGCTGCTGATACGGATGTTGCTGCTGCTGAATTGAATCTCAAGTAAGACAGTTGTTTCCGAGAAGTTTGCCCTCGGCTTTGAAGATGTCGGCCACGGTCACGCCAAGACAAGACAGTGCATTGTTGATACTCGCAGCTGTTGGCTTGGCACTTCTTACCATTCTCAGTGTGTGGAAGTTAAAACAGTTTAAATATAGACTTATAACTGAAACTGGAGGTGCAATGTTTTATGGTAAGTAGCCAATTTAGAGGATAGAGCACGGAAGCCGTTATCTATCAACACTTCCGGAACTCACAGTTTACATTATATATCAGAATGATGATCTTTGGGTTCAATTTGTCAAATCTGGGCCTTGGTAAGAACGCATTGGTTACATTATCTAATTTGGCTCCTGTCACCATTTTTATCATTTATCTTTGTGAGGGAAATTTCTAATTAACACAACAACCACAATGAATGAGAGGCAAGTTATAGCTTACATTGTTCGCAGCCAAATTAAGGATAAGGATATTGATAAAGGCATTATGGCATGATATTGGAATCAAACTTTTAATTTAGGCATTACACCAAAACAATAATTGCCTATACCTGATTTGTATTTCATTATAACGTTATGTTTTGGATGTTTTTGCATTACAGTTGCTGCATTATGATTGATTTACTTCTGGAATAGTTTTTAGCATGTTACATAGTTTTCATAACTGCAGCTTCGCCTGTCTTATTGGTGCTCTTCTGCAGGTATGCTTGTGGGGTTGATGGTGAGATGCTTGTCATTTGACTGGGGAGACAACAAGGAAACGGTTTGCACTTGTGTTGGTCTTAACAGCACACCTCTCCTCTTGAAAATCAACGTCACATCACACTTTAACCGTTTTAAACATGTTGGGAGAGTCAACCATCGATGCCCGCCGGTCTCAACCCCTCATATGGTAACTATGGCAATTTAATTTGACCTGCGCTTCAAATAAATGTTACAAAAAGTGAATGATTTATGTGGATAGGTGGTGCAGGTTGTGACACAACATAGCCTCTAATGGAAAGTGAAACAACCTGTTAATAAAACATTTACTTTCAAAAGGTGCACAATCAATATTACAGAGGGAACATGTGAAAACAAACTGCACAGCACAGGATGCTTTCTTTTCCTCTGATGTGCTTTTATATATACGTATATATAAAAAATATATATTTTCTTACTTTTCTTTCCTTTGATCACACCTATATTTTGTCCCTTGTGTATGCTGGGTATTTATATCAACAGAGGATCCTCTAAAGGTGCTTAGTTATTGGTTTTCTTCTAAATTACTTGCATGTTCTGTTTGTTATCAGGGAAGCAAGAGAGAAATGGGGCAAGACAACAATTTGACCTATATTATAGTGCCGGGAGGAAGAAGAGTCTTTTTTTATGGTGTTTGTGTGGTCGGGTCTTCACTGATGTGAACCCTGAGGAACAGGAAGTTACTGACGCTCTCCACCGTAGTCCCATTGATGGTCCTCGCTGTCGCTTCTTGTAGTCCACAACCAGCTCCTTAGTTTAGACATTGAGATGGAGGTAGTTGTCGAGGCACCACAATATGAGCGCTCTGACCTCCTCTCTGTAGGCTGTTTCGTCGCCGATGGTGGTCGTGTCGTTAGCAAACTTAATGATGTTGTCGGAGCTGTGGTGCGTGAACAGGGAGTACATGAAAGGGCTGAGCATGCGTCCCTGAGGGGCTCCAGTGCTGAGAGTCAGGGTGGAGGATGTGGTGGTGCCGATGTGCACTGCCTGGGTGTTTGCCCATTATGAAGCTCAGGATCCAGTGGTGTTGAACCCCACGTTTCTGAACTTGATGCCAATTTTTGGAGGGCACAATGGTGTTAAATGCTGAACTATTGTCAATGAACAGCATTCTCACATATGTGTGTCCAGGTGGGAGAGGGCAGTGTGGGAGACGAGGGTGACAGATCTATTTGACCTGCAAATTGAAGTGGGTCAGGGATGAAGGAGGTGATGAAGGTTTTTTGACTAACCGCTCGAGGCACTTCATGATGATGGAGGTGGGTGGTACTGGGCGGTAGTTGTTCAGGCAGAGGGCTTTCTTGGACACGTGGGGACTACAGACTGGAGCTGTGAGAGGTTGAAAATGTCTGTGAGGACATCTGCCAGTTGATCTGCACACACCTTGAGAGCTTGACCAAGGATGCCATCAGGTCCAGGTGCTTTCCACGGGTTAATCCTTTTGAAATATTAACACACATTTCCCCTGGATATAGCTAGTGGGCTGAGGTCCTGGGCCTTTTGTACTTCCTCAGCCAGAACTCTTGTAAAGTAGATAAAGCAACACAAAGTGTCTGATCAATAAACAAAAAAAGGCTTTCTACTAAGACTTTCTTTAAAGTATGTTCCTGCCAACAACTGCAAACATAAACCGTGAATACAATTGCAATTTATCTTTTCTTGAAATTTGGGTTCCTGTGAAGACACTCTGTGTTGTTTACTTGCAGAATTCCCATGATGAGATTCAAGTGATATTGGTGCTGGATTGCTCTGCATTGCAGGAAATCATATGAGATAGTTAGGTAATCTAAACAGGCAATGCAGCTTTTCCCTCTTGGATAGCGATGAACATCTCAACCTGTGACACGGACAGAACACAGTAATGGATGTGAATATCTACCATCTGTTCGAAAGTGGAGGGAACTATGATACCATGAATATATATTCCAAATCACAATCTGCCGAGCACAAAGTACATCAATGATGTTTTATGAATGTAGTAGAGATGCGCTGCCGCTCATGATTTGACGCTGGGAGTTTAATAAGCAGTTGTACTTTGCTGACTCAAATAGAGGTTTGGTCAGCACAGTGTTTGAATTGTAAATTATTTTTCACAATTACGAGATCTATTTTGTTTCTTTTGGAAGCATAACATTGAACATCTTTGCTATTTTATGTTGTACTTCCATATAACATAAATACGACATTGTATAATATAGTCTATTGTACACAGTATATTGGTTTGTTAATGATGTGAAAACTGCAATCATACCCTTAGTTTTCTAATATTCTTGTCTATTTCTAAAATAATAAACATCCAATTAAAAAACGTGTCCTCAGCAGAATATTTTAGATACTTATTATCACTTTTAATCAGGAGGGAGCTTTATGATTTTTTTTTTAATGCTGAAAGTCTCATTTGAATTCCGCATGCAAGGATTGTTAAACAGTTTATTTGTGATATTTTTTTGTCACTGAGATGCAACAGGAATAATGTTACAACTGGACCTTAAGCCATCGTGCTGCAAACTTCTCTTGGAAAGTATTTGTGGAAAAGGGATTAGTTAGAGACCCTAATGTAGCCGCTAAGTAGAAGAGCCAAAGCTTTGACAGGCGCCTCTGGTTGTAATTAGTATTATTACTGTTTTCTGGCTTGCTTTCATATTGTGGCGGTCCTATCAGGGAGATTTCTCATATCAAAGAAGCCAACCAATGAGCCGGGGGTTCAGCCACATGATGGCGAACAAGCATGAGAGGATGTGGAATGAGTGTATTTGAAAATGTATTTCTTAATCTCAGAGCGATATTTCAACCAGAGACAAAGGGAGTAAGTGACCCACGAACCCTGCAAATCATCCAGGCCACATGTAACTCTTCACTAATGGCTTGGACTATTTGGCCCCTTTGAATGCTGGGGTCTCATTAGCAAACCAGCAGAGGCTACCACAAAGGCCATTACTTTGGTCAGACCATTCTGTGTAGCCTTCACGCTATTAAGCCTGATACATAAGGGGGCATAGCAGAGAGAGATAAGAATTTCATTGCATTACTGAGTCCATTATGTGCCGCTGGGGAGTAAAGCATTAAAGTTTGTGGTCTGATTAAATTTAGTGCTGCTCAGCTGAAGAGGCAATTAGTGTATACAACACACCTCCATCCCCGATTCTGTGGCGCAGGTGGCCCTTAGAATAAAGCCACTAGCATATGCATAATTGATTACAGTGTCTGTATTAGTCTCTGTTATGCCATTTTGTATTTGGCATGCACAGTCTGCAAAAATACATATATATGTGCTCTGTGGGTAATTGCAGTCACGAGAAAGTAATTTATTTTAAGCCGGGTGATGGTAGCAGAAAGATGGGAGCAATTTGTAGAGCTGGCAACCATTTCAAGTGTGAATTACTGTGAAAGCATAGTCACTCCAAACTATAGGGGGCTTTGCAGCATCAGAAATTATGATTTTAAAAATGCAATCTTCCACATATCCACACATATGTGTAAATGGTCACCAAAATGCAATGCTTCCAGGAAATGGGGAATTTACAGAGACGGGCCTATTTTCATTTGTCCAAATATTCATGTTATTCCGGCTGCTTCAATATTTTCTCTGCAAGCATCATCACCACATATCTGAAATATAATTGAACTGGAATTTCATTTTGAGCAATGTAAAGAGACCTTGCGGGATGTAGGAATCAGGAGAGAGTAACATTATTTTGATCTGATTTGAATATCGCTGCCGTTTGATCCTCAGAAGGTACCCACAATAGACATAAAATGGATTCAAGGATGAAGGACATGAAAGGCTATCTTTCTGTGCAGCTTGTATTGCGTCATATTGGCTGGGATGAGAAACAGACAAAGAACGTGCACGGTATGTTAAGAAAAGCCTTAAGCTCTGGCTACTGCTTGTGTTGAAGGCAACATAGGTTGTTGCGATCAGCGGCTTAGATTTTGTTTGATTTTAATCCATCCATTGTCTCAACATGTGCGTCTTTACTAATGATTCTTGATTATTCCCGTTCTAAAGAACACTGGGAGCCTCCGTGGTGAACACTTACACAATGTGTTAGACTTCTCACTTTGTGTTATGCTTTGCTTTAATCAGCTGAGGCAGTCTGAGTGAGGGCACCGGTGCAGAATGCTAATGCAGTACACAGTAATTAAATTATAGGGCAGTTGTAATAATGCACCATCAACGTAGTGGCCCTATACTGAAGATTCAAAGTTTGCTGTTGAGAGGAATTAGTAGTATTTCCTAACATAGCAGTTAAACCAGGTTCATGTTTGTGTTTCTTTAAGCTACAATGTGATGATTTTTGTATGTAGACAGGTTGGAGCCTACTTTATGGTACCTATAATGCTTCCAACTGCAACGTTCATGGGTGGGAACAATAACAAAATATAAGCCTGGAGTGTCATGCTTTTTTCTATTACCAATATGCAAAAGTTTTATATATTTTATTTTAGAAAGAAAGGACAGATAAGGTTGTCCCGGTACCAGGAGACCATTGTGACATTGGGATTCAAAGAGAAAAAAAGAACTGCTGCCTGTCTGCAAAACAGAGCTGCTGAAGTGAACAATGTGTGTGTATAATATCTGTCAGTCAGTCATATCCAGTAAACGGAGTCCTCTCGCTCCCCACGGAGCCCTGTCAGTCACCAACACAACAGCTCTGTCTTTTACAGGAGACCTTTGATCCCGAGGTCCTTTTCAATCTGTTCCTGCCACCTATCATCTTCCATGGAGCTTACACCCTCAATCAGGTGAGACTGCTGTCCTGACATGCCTCACAGGGGAAAACGACATCGTCAACGCACTGCTCTTTTTGTATGTATGCTTCGTCAGTTAAAAAAAAGCACCGCCTGTCGGCGTGTGCTGCTGTTGCTTACATGGGATTTAAGTAAATGTGTTGCATACTGTTGAGCTGCTTGTTTGACGTTACTGATTGGTGTTCATTCAAATTTCTGTTCTAGAAACGATTCATTGGGAATCTCGGATCTGTTTTGACCTTTGCATTTTTGGGAACCATAATCAGCTGTGTGACTATAGGGTAAGCATTTTTTTTTTTTTTCCATTCACGCAAAATGAACACATCAAAAATACATTAACACACACAGAGTTAAGGTGCACAGAAGTAAGAGAATGGCCGAGATAATGGATATCACAAAATATCCTGCGGAGAGTAGCTTTTTACAGAGCTCCACAGTGCTTCATCTAAAATAAATAAATGGCCCTTTCAGGGGCTCTATTAGAATAAATTTAATATAATAATTATAGCTATGTTTGCATTGGTGTATAATCACTAACAATCATGTTTTAGTTAGCTTAAAACGAGCCATTTATATCTACATAGGGAGTGGGTCCTCCGCCATGTTGCACCGCCATGTTTCGGACAAACCAAACATGATTTTTCGCTAACCAGAGACCAACGCATTGTAAGTCAACCGGTAATGTGTCGCCATGACAAGAACAACTTTGTGCCGGTGTTTTAAGAGTTAAAAGAGAACAGAACTAGCCTCAGGGGATATTGAGAAGACAAGCAGTATACTGTATATTGGAAATTATTCAGTTGCTCAAGGGGGTCATATCGAATTCAAAATGATTAGTTTATATGCTGGAAGAGAGGCCATTGAGTGAATGATTCAGAGATGCTGAGGTTATTCCCTCATATAGATCCGGCATCTATTGTGTAGATGTTTTACAACGGTGTTAGTCCTGCCCCTGCCGCTGACAAATCAGTCGACACAACCTTGGTGGAGTGAGCGGATACATAGGTCTGGACCCAGGCAATGATGCCATTCTTCTTATAAAATACAACATATGAGAATTCGTGAACAATAGAGTAGTAAAGTCCTGGATTAATGGGACACAGGAATTCAGTGTCTGACATTAAGTAAAAGTAATATAAGATGGTAGAAACTAAAAGTCTAGAAAATGTAATCATATACTCATGAAGCTGTATTTCATGCATGGAAGGTGCTATAGCTGTTAGTAGTAGTAGAAAATGCGTTGTATTTACTGTATTATCATATACAGTATATATGTGATCATGGTGATTATAATTGTGCTAATTTCCAATTCATATGTTGCTAATTTTCAGTCAAATGTTCCCTCTGTATTGTGTCATTTGTAAATTCATATGTTATGTCCCAGTCCCTTACTGCATAATATTTGTATGTACTTAACACAAATTGTCATAGTATAATGTTTCTACAGTTGACATACAATAGTTAAAACAACGTCACTTATTATTTTTATGAAGAAGTAAACTGTACAAAGATTTCATGAAGATCTTTCGGCAGCTGTGTCATCACATCTGCAATTAAGTCAAATTCTCTGCAGCTGTGAGTAGCTTCTCTATTTGCTTGGTGCATTGCATTGAGGTACAATGGGCCTTTGTCGTAGCAGGAAAAGCACATGTGTAACCTTATAACATTAATTACTGCAGTGAGGTATAATAGTGAGCCAGCATGCACAATAGCAAGGTCCTGGAACTGAATGGCAAACATGAAGTAGAGCCATTATTAACGGTGCCTTTTCTATTATAATCAGTCTGCTATGAACAGTTCTGTAGTGTGCACCAACAGCACACTTGAGATGATCAAATAATCGAAACCTGCTAAGCATTAGTGTGTAGAATGGAACTGGGTTGCTATTCTGGCCTCACAACGCTAGATGGCACTCTCAGACTTTGGAGGAAATCGAGATCTTTGCACACCGGTTGTTTCTCTTGTATTAATTTGCTGCACACAAAGACTATGTGAAAACTTCATAACTCCAGTTGTTGTTTTCCTCTTATACTGTAACTTCAGGATCCACTTTGATCAGAAAAACAGACTTCAATTTTATGAAGCCCTTTCAAAGGATTCAAATTGTATATATTTTTTCCCCTTCTGGCATTTTGGAGATACAATGTTTTCACTTAAAACACACACACGCAAACACACACACAATACTATTTCACCCACAGAAATATACACTCAGTGGCCACTTTATTAGGCACAGCGGTACAATCGAATGAAATCCAATAACATTGTTCTGCCATAAAGTCAACTTTTACTCTATGGGGGGTCATAGAGGTCTCAATTAGATTTTATGTATTGAGGTTACAGTAAGTGATGGTGTTGTACTAGACTGCATCGTATTGAGAGGCGTGTCACCAAAAACGTAGCTTTATGAGCTTTGTAAAAATACATGTAATGGCAGAACCTCTATGGTGTTGGACTTACCGAATAAAACCTGATAAAGTGGCTTCTGTGTGTTTAAACTGCTTTTCCCCCCTGTATATAAAATAGATAACATGTCAATATGTTCCCATAATCTGGTACTTTTAAAGCTGCTGCTGGGTTGAACGGTTACTTGGTGTGTGTGTGTGTGTGTGTGTGTGTGTGTGTGTGTGTGTGTGTGTGTGTGTGTGTGTGTGTGTGTGTGTGTGTGTGTGTGTGTGTGTGTGTGTGTGTGTGTGTGTGTGTGTGTGTGTGTGTGTGTGTGTGAGTGTGTGTGTGTGTGTGCGTGTGTGTGTGTGTGTGTTGTTTATTCATGCTATTATTTCCGTTGTAATATAATTATTTTGTTGTTAAATTATTCATAATGTTTTATATCCAAGGGAAAGGCTCATGCCCTCTAGATATTATAGCCCGCGGGCTTCTCCAACCTGCTGAAACCCAGTGTAAAAGATGTTGTCTTTCCTCGCTTCCCTCCCTCTTTTCTTCCATACATTAGTCCTTTTCCTTTCCCAGGATCGGCCAATGACAAACTCTCCCCAATTCCCTCGGGACGCAGGACACAGTTTGACATGTTGGGTCACGTGTACATTCTTTGATGCTAAGGGACCAGACCTGACCATTCCTGTTGCTTGTTAGTGAGTCTGCCATATCCCATGGGGAAAAGAGAGTCTCATGGGAGTGAGTGAACCTTAATGACTCCACTGACAAAGTACAACCACTTCCTCTCATTCTCTCTCTCTCTGTGTCCGCCTGTCTCACTGTCTCTTACTGCTGCTGTATTTCTCTCTCACTTACACACATACACACACACACACACACACAATGTACGGCATTACCACAACTTCAAATCTCCCTTAAAGATAGATGAATAAGACAGCTTAGTCGCTCAACCTGAGAACACTACTTTAAATACCGACCTCGGGGACAGGTCGTGTGCCATCACCATGGTAACAAAGTTATGCCTATGGACAGAAAGGTTCCCCAGAGAACAAGCTGGCAAACTGATTATTATGGGATGCTTCACAGTAACAGGATTAGTTCTTAACACACATCATTTACCAGTCGAGAGCTGGACCGCAGTGCTGAATGCAGAATGTTAGCAAGTTTTTTGCTCTAAGTGCAGTATTTTCATAAGGGAGAGCATACAGTGGTGCATTCTGGGACAGTTAGATTGTAGATTTGTTTTATTGCCAGGCCCCAGAGCAGATACAATCACTGCTTCGGTTTTATTTCTGTCACAATGCCCTTCACAAACTCTCCTCTTTGTTTTTAGTCTTCCGGGTGATTCTGTGCTCATAAAGCACACATACTCATAATTCTGGTGTCCTTTTATTATGTCTGAGTGTTTATAATACTGAAAATGGAGAGGTACTGAGATGAGATGTCTAACAGAACTAGTTGACATGTATGTGTGTGAGTATATTATTTATTTGAGTGTAGATTAGAATGGAGGGTCATGTAGATCCATATACACACATATTCCAAATGTAATGCTGCCCCGCAGACTCACAGCTTTGTGTGTCCACCTGCGTTAAGCAGCCGCTGCCTGGAAACGGGTCAACTCAACTGCTGGTAGCATCTGGCCCCATTACCCACACTACTCTGGGGGAAGCCCTGCTGCGGTTAGAGGGATGACTGATAGGCCTGCTCTGTCTGGCGCTCCCCGATGACCTCGCTGTGTGTCCTTCTGTCTGTTTGTCCTCTGTCCCAGGGCCTGCGTCTACGGCTTCACCAGACTGATGGTGCTGTTGGGCCAAGCAGCAGATGGAGACTTCCTCCTCACTGATTGCCTCCTGTTTGGTGCCATTATGTCGGCCACTGACCCAGGTAGCTGGCCTTATAAACAAACTCCTAGTGTAACTCTCATTACTTCTAGTAGCAACATTGATTTCCTGGTTTTTATACAGATGTAAACTTCACTGCACAATTCTACTCTACCCTTCTTGCTTTATGTATAGCCATCCTTTTTACTGTCTACATACCTTTGCACAGAGATAAATAAGATGGATTGATGCATGCACAAAGTCACAATGCCCTAGCAGACGATGTAACTGCTTTAAATTCGGTGCACCTTTTTCCTAAATGGAACCACAAAATAATCTGTGTTCTTCAAGAGGAGTCAAGTGGGATGTCATAAGGCATCCCGCGACACTGCTGCAGTGGTAATGTTAATTTCCTCATTTGCTAATGAATTATTTATGCCAATAGGTGGTTGATCCGGTTGAGTGTCAAAGAGGAGCCGTAGATTATGGTGCAAGCTGTCAGTTCCGACGTTATTTTCCCATGCCACGATGTGCTCTTTGATTAGAATCACACTGCAATGCATCGATGACCTAAACACAAACACCCCTTGGCTTCCTCTATCTCGAGCTGTCCAAATATAGCGCCTGCTTTCTGATTTTCTGAAAGGGGCCAAAGCAAAGGAGCACTCCGGAAATAGGCACAGACTTACTTTCACACACATACACACACACACACACACACACAGTCACAATGACTCTCAGAACAATTTAGTCTTCAGGAATAATTCAAATTTGTTTTTCTTAATGTCAAAGCCCTTGTGAGACAGCTCTCTGGTTGTGTGGATGACTCATTGTGTGAGTGCAACGATTTCACGTATCAACTGAAATGTTGTAGATCTTGAGAACAGTGTGAAAGTCATCACAGATTCGCAGCTTTGAGTAAAATGGAAGGCAAATGTATAATAATGTAATAACACCAGCAGATCTAAAGGTAGATGCAGCTGTAAACAGCACCTGTATGTTAACATTTATTTTGCAGTGTTTTACATTCTCGTAAGAGGTGGACAGAAGCTACCTGAGCAACTAGATTTTATTAATCAGTTTGAGACAGTAGAGACGACCTTTAAGTCTGTAATATCCCTATTGATATTCTTTTGAAAATATGTAATTGTTAGGAGGCATAAATGTCCCTAGCATTTACTTAACTGTTCATTCCAGCATGCATCTATTGATTTTAAATTGCTGGTTTTATACAAGCCCCCAAAGCTCTGTAGCCATGAAACCTGTTGTTTTCAGCCTCAGAATAAGACGCATGGGTCAAGTCACAATGTAGAACGCCTGCTGCGCTGCCTCCTCTAGCTTCAGGGATGGTTACAAAAGGTCAGTAAAACCCTCACTTAACTTCTCAAAGGATTTTTTTGGGAGTGGGGTGGGAGCCTCTGTCGTTTTTCTCTTTCATCTTTGAGCTTCTATTTATTTCCTTCTTCAGGAGTTCTCTTGACATGGACACTGCACATACATATTTCTCTTAGTATTTCAGAGCTGGAAATGATGCCAGAGCTGGAAATGACTTGTTTACGTCTTCAGTCCCGGGCCAGATGTTATAACAGTAACTTAAATGCAGTTATACATAGTTATACAAAAACAGGTATATGTAAACGTGCATGTGACATACTGTGAGATTAAGAGGAAGCAAAACCAAACTGGAAAACTACTAATTATAAAGTGCTGGTTTACTTTAACGGGCTTTCAAATGGCAAGGAATGCAGTCTTGTGACCCTTGTTTGTCCTCTTGTCAATGCTTACAAAATTGAACAATTCTTACGCGGAGTTGGGGAGATTGTAGTAATTCCCTGTTGACTATTACGGCTTCCCTAATGCATCACTTTCAGTATTATATCTGCCTAATTTGGTCAAATCAGCGAGCAAATCCCGTGCTCTCTGACTGATATGGCCACGAGCTTTGCCTCTGCTAAACCTCTGCAGCAGGGGTAATTTGACCTAATGAGGCTTCCGTTGGACCTTTTCAACTGTATTATGTCTGAAATAATTGCCTACTTCTCTCCACCTGATGGTGTTGCTGTGGAAACTGATGAACACTTGACAGCTGCAGGACGGGGTTGCCATGACAACATGGCTAACCCACGTGTGTGTGTGTGTGTGTGTGTGTGTTTGGGGTGGGCTCTATTTTTTTTATTTTTTTTTTTATTTTTCCGTCTTGCAGTGTGAGTAGTGCACGACATGCTGTCATCAGCCAGGCATTATGGGAGCAAGGAGATGGAACGATCCTCACTCCAGGGCCTACCTCCCCCTCTCCAGATAAAGGATTTTCCCCAACCAGGAGCCTTAAACCTGTCAAAGACCAAAGAGCCAGATCTGTCAAAACAAGTCCTGAGGCTGCTCTCTTGCCACTGCTCTTATTATCAGTCTGGTCGTATACTGGCTGTGATGCTTTCACTGGCCTGGTATTCACTGAAGGGTCAAACGCCGCCATCGGAGCATCACAATCCGTCATATCACTAGCTTCTCTGAGACTAATTTATAGGATTCTTTTAGCATCTTAGTCTCAACAGGTGGAGAATGAATCTACCGGGAGCTGTTATTGTTTTGAATATGATATTGTCTGGCCTTCAGAATGGCACCGCTCTGAGTTTCTCTTCCTGTCCATGCCTGTATCCTTATGAACGTGTGTGTGTGTGTGTTTGTGAGTGTGCATCTTTGTTGTCTTTCTCCATATCTGACATTGTTTTTGTTATATGATACTTTGGTTTTGCTTGTTTTTAAACTCAGCCGGGTTTCTTTTGTGGCAGTTACAATAAGGATTTGTGCCAGTATGTTTTTTTCTATCGAGCGTATATTTCTGTCTTTCTATATATCCATCTATCTATCGAATGTGGTATATTGCTATCCTACTCTAATGTAATCATATCTACCGCATCTGTAAACAATGCTACAGTCAATATCTTGCAGAGGGAGATACTTGAGGTGTCGCGAAGCACCTCCTCGTCAATGTCGATATTGTCCTTGTCACTCAGCGTCACCACCTCGCCGTCCTGAAGGTCGTGCGTGCATGCGCTCATTCGTATGCTCCAGCATCTTCTGCTTACTGTCGGTAAACTCACCGTGGAATTCAGCTCATATTTCTAAGCAGATGTATTATGTTGAGAGGTTCAGCTGCATAAACAACAGCGTAATAAGTTTATATTTTTCACCACAAATTTGAGTTTCATCATCAATGATCTGATACATTTTTTTTCAAGACATGTCGTGAGATGCAAGATAGAGATTGTGAGTTCATGAAGGTTTTTTTTTTTTCCATTAACTTATAATTATGAAGTAAATGTTGATTGTTGTAATGATGTAATTGCTATAGAATAACGACACCATCGTCGGTTAGATTGGTTCCCCATAAGCCTTACTTTCACTCTGCAATTCTGTCTTCCACCCGGTACAATCTGTACTATCTCGCCAGAAAATTAAGTCTTGATTTACAGCCTGAACAACCAAAGTAACTGTGGAAACGCTATAGGCAACGTGTCCTGTGTTGTTGGTAGTTGCTATGTTCTGGAAGATGAAAACTTGTCTATGGCCACTTCAGGATGAAGAATTAGCACAGAATACCTTATTTATACAGCATATGTGTAGACTTTTTATTGATTACTACTTTGAAACTATTACTGACTGAAGTCACAACCTCTGTAAACATAAAATACATAACAAGGAAGTTACTGTAATATTTATTGCAAATTTCACATATGGTGCCAAAGCTTGCAAACTTCAACATCTTTGCTCATCTGGGTTTAAATCAAAGGCAATTGGACTTTTTGTTATATAGCCTTCCAATGTTCTGCCACTGCTCAAAGAGGTTTCATCAGCTCTACTGATTGGTTGAGGGTTCCCCAGTGTTTAACCTCTCTAGATGATTCGCACTATGTCCTTACAGAAGAGTCAAATCCTCTAGAGGTTACAGTAAATGCAGGAGACTCAACTGTTAGCAAACATCCATTCTTCTCAGCTTTCAAAACCATACAACATTTCCTAAGCTAGATGGAGGCTCAGATACACACTTGGAAAATCAGTCCAACTTTGCAGCTCAACCCAGATTGCACCAGGCATTTGTATTTGTCTCAACGCTGTGATCGTTCGACGTTCATTTACAGAGGCACTAAGTTCAATACTAATTCTCATAGTCGTTACTAGTCATGGATAGCTGTGGTATCAGTTATCACTGTGTCTGTGCTGTGTGTAAGTTTAGCTGTAAACCTTGAACATTACCATTTACGTGTTCCACTCCACTCAATCGTATTCAGTACAAACACACTTACAACTGCAGCTTGTGTCTTTGTAAACATGTCCACTTAAAGTCATCTCGCAAGAGGCACCTGTGTGAGAAACTGAATTATGTGGGGAGGACTTCTTTGTGTTGCTGAGCAGTAAGTGAATCTTACATTATTTAAAGCATGGAGCTCTCTGCCAGTTCCCCTACATTAGACTATAATTGGCTCCTTTTGGATCTTTTAATCAGCTGCAGCATCTTAGCTCTAATCTCCCCTCTTCTCCAACCAGCGTCCTCTCAAGATTCCCAGAATCCTAGTCGTTCTCTCCCTCTATCGTGAAACCTGCAGCAATGCTCCAAGCTGATAAACACACTCCCACATACAGCACATTCATGCTCAGCAAACACGAACACACGTACAACACAAACACCTGCAGTGCTAACACTAAGTCGTTTTATTTAGTTGGATGATTTCGATGATCTGCCGTTTATACTGCCACCAACAAATCACAGACTGCCGTGTTATGACTACACAGGAAATGTAACCTATAAAATAAACGGTCACACATGCAGACTAAGATTTAGCTTATTACATCATTTTTATTGTTCTGTTATTTGTTACTTGATGTGTTGATTCATTCTCTGGACTTGAAATACAATTAAGTGTCTAATTATGTGTTCCTTTTGATTTGTGCTTCTGTGTAGTACACAGTGACTCAGTATGTTCATTCGTTCAGTGATAATACAAAAAAGGCCAAACTATCTATTTTAATGATTTCTTTTCTTGTGCACTTGCATGAAAATGTCATCACACACACAGAGCATCATCAAATTCCAGATATCTTGAGTTTGCTACTACATTTTCAAATACGTATATTATTCGAACAAGTCTTCGCTTGGTTTAGTTACTCTGGCTGTTCCAAGTGTCAAAATCCTCTTTGCAGTGCTGTCGGTGTGCTGACATTTTCTGTCGGCTTGTATTGCTCCACTGCAACATTAAATCCCCTGGCTTCTCTTGTTTGTAGCAGAAGAGGTGCTACTCCACACCACTTTTGCTGTGTGATTAGCAGAGCAGATATCCCACTTCCTGCAGCCTTCAACAGCAGTAACTGTTGTTTTTTGGGGTTTTTTTAGTTGCAGTCCTTGGCCTGTTGTCAGAGCTGCATGTGGACCTGGATCTGCACGCCCTGCTGTTTGGCGAGAGTGTCCTGAATGATGCCACGGCCATCGTCCTGACACAGTGAGTGTTTTGCTTTAGGATTCGTCTCTGCCTTCGGAATGCATTATATTTCTAGGTTTAACTGTGTCTTTTCCAGTTGGCATTATGGGGGTGGATGTGTAGGCGAGTGAAGGCTGGATGGATGCTGCCAGCTTTAAGGAAAGGGTGTGATTGGCAAAACTGCATGAGCGCCTCAGATGCTATGCAGTGGACTGCGTAAGCGTTTTGCCCCTGGCACTGTCAGCATCTCATTAAGGTGCTCAGTGGAGAGACTCACTTCCAGGGTAGAGACACGCGCTCCCAGCTAACGAACTCAGCTAACACAGCTACTGTCAAATTCTGACAAAATACAGCATAAATAAAACCCTAGGAAGCTCAGTGAAGCAGCCATGATGCAGGCATGCCTTGTTCATGCATTTCAATTGCCTCATTCATTTCCCTCGACTTTTCCCCTTTCTCCAGCAGTGCACTTAAATTTGCATGTTTGTCCTGCACACACACATTGCAGTCATTGTCTGCTGTATTTACACATAGCTAGTGAACAAAGCCATTCCAGTAGACGTGCTAACAGATGGCAAGATGGGGAGCAGAGAGATGGAGACAGAGAGAAGCGACAACTCACACAGGTCCACATTTATGGCGAAGCAGGCAGATGAAAAACATGGAGATGGAAGGGATAAGATATGTGTCCATATTTGCATATTGTATACACAGGGAGTGACGCATCACATGTACAGTACTTGTACCCTCTGACATTTCTTTCTCCGATCGCACAAATGGGCACAGACAGGCAGGCAGATGGAGAGAAAAGAAGGTGTTTGCGCAGATTGTTGTGTTCACGCCCTGGCTGCTGTCTCTGTGTACATTGAAGTGCAGAGGAGGGAGCCTGCATGTCTTCCCGGGCAAACAGTCAGATAATGCTGTGTTTGTTCCTGGAGTGGCGTGACCGGCCTTCATGCCATCTCCTGTCACTTGACTGGCTCGCTAGCCTGCCGGTCGCCCTGGCTCCACACACAAAGCTTGCCCTTATTAGTGAGCCACGCGGGGCCCTGGCACTGGAATTTTAACAAGCTCCCAGACCAGCTCAACCTTACGCTGATGTGCCCTCTAACAGGCACTACACTTGCTGCTCCAGCAGCCCTGACCCAGCCACCATTCAGCCAGGTCCTGTGTTGACATCTTGAGATTTCTGACTGGGAGTTAACAGCCTGCAGATGCCTGAAGATATAGTCTCTAGAGGGCCACACTGACCAAGAGACTAGTAACCAAATTTAATGTTTAAAAAAAATAAAATGACAGTAATGTAATGTGCTAACACAACTGGAGTCTTTATTCTCACGGGGGGCACAATAGATTTTCCCACCTTTCAATTTGCTAAGCTCATTAGCGACAGCGTGATTGATTCTTCCCTTTCTGCTATGGAGATTAAGGAATGTTGCGGCGTCTGCTAGCTCATTTCAACCTGACAGCATGAAAAGTGGAGTTGCATTACGGTTTCATTTGTCAGATATTTTTTGACACCATAAGGATCTTCAACAAACCATTTTCATGGTAGCTGGAGTATAAAGTAAGTTTCCAGGGGGTTTACCCTGGCTGTAAGAAGGTGTGTCCCCGATTTAGGAAGCAAAAACAACAACAACCACTACTTTCACATTGTTTTGCTCACTCAATGGTTTGACATTCATTTAGAACAGTTGATGTCTAAGGGGCGTACAAGGGAGGGTCTGTGGTGGGTACAGAAATGTTGTCATTCCACAAAGGGAGCCTGCTACATCAGCCACTCGCATGGGTGCCTGTATCTGTTTGCTTCACCTCAGGCTCTCTTTCTCTCTCTCTCTCTCTCTCTCTCTCTCTCTTTCTCTCTCTCTTCCTCCCTCCCCCTCTCCCTCCACCCTGTGAGGCCTCTTTTGCACTCAATGACTTCCATGTGGAAGTCTCCCCTTCCCCCCACAAACTAAATATTTATAGCGGTGTGAATAGCACGATGCTGCCGTCTTTGTGAACAACAATAGTATTTCCCTTGTTTCCCACTAACTACTAGGGGACGTCTCTAAGGCAAATAATTCAGAATGGATTGTTTTCAGGGAAGGATTTAACTTCTAAAGAAGCGTATGTGTTCTTAGGAGTGACTCCAATACATTTTGCTTAAAGGCTTAGCTCAGCATAATAAGCATGTGAATTTATGTTCACTGCTGCAGACTGGTTTACACCAAGAACCAAGTGGGCCATATTTCTGACGACTGCATTTGTCTTTCTGAGCCATAAACCATGTTGACTCTTTAATGGTTCAGTATCAGTAACACTCGTATTTATTTCTGTAGTAATTGTGCAATTGCTTTCTTTTTTGTTCCTGAGCAGTTTGTCTCTTTTTCATGTATGTAACCCTTTTTTTTCGGTCTTTGTCAATTTGTCTTCCAGTGCCATCACCACCTATAGCCAGACGGGTGCAGGACATATCTTCGACCCCCCTGCCTTCTTCCTCTCTGTTGGTTATTTTCTTGGAGTGCTTGCCAGCTCCTTCCTCCTGGGTTTCATATTCACAGTCATAACAGCCCTCATATCCTTTCATCCCCTCCCATCTCTGCCTCTGCACCCCAAACTCAATTATCACCTCAGCATCCGCTGCAATCTATCCACATCCTCGACTTGGTAATTGCTTCTCTAACAAACCCCTACTGTACCACCTGAAGAAAAGCATCGCAGCTAAGTCTTAAGTGCTACTGTGACACTAACGGTTGCAGAAAGGTCGTCAATCAAGCCAATAGCCTCCGATGAAGTTTCGGCTTGCGCTGTTGTCCAGCATTTCCCTCCGATCTTTTAGTTATAAGACTTTAGGATGAAAAATGAGGACGTGTCATGAGAGGTTTGGAGCACAGCTCAGCTCTTATTCACAGTGACTAATCTCTGGGTGCGGGCAAAGCACAAAGTGAGCATATATATGATTTTGATGATGCTAACCATAGCAACAGCCTGCTCTTTTGTGCTGTGTCCTCAAACTTAAACTTTACTTAAAGAGACTCAGTTTGACATTAATTACAGAAACAATCAGACTTGGGAAGGTGTTTTCATGATTGTAAGCCAACAACTTCTGTAAAGAATTAGAAGTCCTAATATTGTCACATTCACAGCAAACCCACCCATCTTCACTTTCTGTGACTATCACAAATACTAAACTTTCTACCTGTGTGGTCCTCTCTGGAACACTGTGTAAAGACTTACTGTATGCTTTACAATGAAGCTTTGCCAGAGGGGATGCGGGACAGTGAGATAGAAGGAGTGGGATGTGGACTATGTTATCTGTTGGGGAACGCGCAGAAAGGATCTCAAAAAGACCCAGTGGGTTAGTCTAAATGTCAGATTTCCTGGCTTAGTGAGCAGCTTCTGCAGATGCTTTTTGTTCGCAGAGGCTGCAGAAAAGTACTGCATCTTTCGGTACATGTAGTCTGCCATGACAGCCATACATTTGTGTTGCAGTTGCATTAGCCTGATGCAAAGTGTTGAGTGCTGTTTGATTACCTCCTTGTATATCTTTAACTCTCTTTCCACCTCACCAAATTCACTCGGCTATGTGAGAATCCACTGCTGGAAACATCCGTCTTCTTCCTGCTGTCCTGGAGCAGCTTCCTCTCAGCTGAAGCCAGCGGACTTTCAGGTGAGCACTGTATGACTTATATGTTGTCTGTGTGTGTGTGTGTGTGTGTGTGGCCATGTCAGGGCTTGGCAGCGTGGAGTTCAGACATAATACAAATCTTGCTGGTCAACTGCTGCCCTTTCCCCCTCGTGCAAACCTTCTCAACTGCTCACTCCTTCGCAATATCAGTGGCTTAAGCAGCTGTTTGATTACCAAGCTCTGCTGTTTCAATGCATCTCTGTGGCCATTGGCACTTCACAAACCTGGGAATGATATGTGCGCTTGTCTGCTGTCTAGACTTGAAAAGTACACCAGCATTAGATGAAGGCCTTTCCCTTACATACTTTACCCTCTGAGAGTCCTTGGCATTGTAGCGAGTCAATAATGTACAGATGAGAAAGTATTAAGCCATCTCCTCTCTACAGGGAACTGCGGGTACCAATCCCATTCTGGGCTCAACCCCCATAACTCATTTTAAAATGGTGTCCGCCCTACTCTGTCAGAGCATGTTTGTACCTTTTCATTTGGAAATGCCCACAGATAAGCAGCAAGCCATAATGGCATTCTTGCCCTAGCTGTTTGTACAGATATCCTGGAAAGTCAAGACGTGCCTAGCTTTTGTTAAAATTGATACAACATGACCTTGCTTTTGTTTTCTTTATCCATCACCAAGGGGAGGTTGTATTTCCATTACATTGTTTTAGTTTTCACTTCACTGATTCCTAGTATCTGGAATCTTGGCTCAGCTGCCTGGAATTGTCTTCATCTATTTCTTAACCAGCCGGTCGTAATGTAGTTCTGAAATATGAATGTAGTGTACACATGCACACATTAGTGTTGTTGGTCCTCCTGGTCCGACCTGGCCTGTCAGAGGAATTCCACTCATTCAGCGGATGTTGTAGAGGTCCCTCTTTCTTGGCAAAACTCCCTGTGGCCTGTGGAGGAGGAGAAGACGGTTTTAATGAAATACCGCAACCTTTTTCTATTAGACCCAGATGCCCTGTCCATAAAGTACACCACTGTGAATGCTGCCCAGCGTGGGAGGCACACCGCAGCAAAACAAAGGGCAGTGATTCTCTCTACTCCAGTATCTGATGCAGAGCCTCGGGTATTTTTAGTGCAGATACAACTTTTCTGTACTGTATTGATACTGTACTACCGGGGCTAATAATGAAATACTTAATTTTGCCTTTGAAAACTGATTCTGATGCGGATGTTTTGTCACAGAGATCTAAAAATCAAATCTTCAATGTTCTTGGTACAAAGCTAGACTCTAACAAAACTAATCTGATGAGTGCTACTCCATCCAAAGGCCTTTAATGATCCATTTAGGGTGAAGCGGCACCTCACACAGAGCGACCCAGTGAGCGATTGGACTCCTCCCCGGTGTCCTTTGGTAATCAAGGAGCTTTCTGTTAATTGCTGGAGTTTAGTGAGGGTGTGCCTAATGACCCTCAGCCTCTCAGGGAGCCCTGCGATCATTAATCTTATGCCCCAAATTATTATGGGATGCATCTCATCTGTTGCCAAGTGCCCTGAGTCTCGAATGTGGATGGTGGATGATGTGTTACCTCGGTCAGTGTTATGTAAACCAAGGAGGAACCAAAATGAGATCCGCCATGCTGGCATGCTCCATTAGACTTTGTTGAACAGTGCTGGAAAGGACATTGTGTACAGTGATTACCAGAGGTAGCATAGTGCAGGTACAGGTCAGCATCCTAGTGTGACGGGCGAATGAGAAGAGAAAATAATGGACTGGCTTCACTGAGCAGTCTGAACCACACGTGCTATCTTTTCTTTGCTGCCGTATTTATTATTGCTCGCTCACACCTCTCAGTGTTGCTCCCCATCACAATAAATTCACATGTTTTCCATCTTCTGTGATTTTCTTTCAAGGTAGAGGGAGCAAAAATGTGAAATTGAATGTCGCAACAACAAAGCAAGCATGTCCTGTGAGGCATCAACACACCTTTAAGGCTACGTGTTTCAAATTCCAGCTCTCTGCTCCAGCCAGCCTCCTCTTTACAAGCAGGGGCCCTAATCACTCCCTCCACCCTGTTTCCTCTCTCCGTAGAGCTGCTTTTCTTTCCCTTCTTTACTTTCGCTTGTCATGTGTTTCGCCTTTTGTTAATTTCTGCTCCTCTGCATCTGGCACGATTTACAGCGATGATGTCATTCTTTAGCATTCATCATTCCCAGATCTTCATGTCTCTGTAGTAGAAATGGAAGTAACGTCTTTGGCCAGAAGCATGAGGATACTTGGATTGGGTTGGGCAGCACATTTTGATTAGGCTGTTTTTACAGCTGGAACCAGGACAATGGGGGTGGGGTTATGTGAATGCCTACATGCATTGTTCTGCTAATATTTCTCATATTTTAATTATCATGTTAATGTTTATTTTGAAAGCTAAACTAGAAGTCAGTTTATCTGGTTTGATAAATGCTGGGTTGAACCACACAGATAAAGACTCTTCTCACAAATCATTTTTCCATGATGGAAGAACCTCCTAAGGCTCGGTGTGTTAACCAGCACACAAACATACACACACTCACAACCTGATTACATCGCATACGATGTACTAATTAGATACAGCACATTGTTTAACTCCCTTCTGTTTACATAATAGTCCTCCGTGACCTTTTCACACCTAATGTTCATGCTCACATTTACAACTAACAGATGTCATGGATGTTTAACACTTAATTGGCTATTTCCTCTTTTTGAATTTTCATTTATTTCCCCTGCATTTTTTTTTTCTTTCAGGTATTGTGGCAGTGCTGTCTTGTGGCTTGAGCCAGGCAAGGTACACAATTCACAATTTATCCTCTGAGGGCAGGACCAGGACCAGGCAGGTGGGTTTATGGTGGGAGATTGAGGCCTATTCAGCAGTAGTTTTCATACATCATTTTTCAGTTTACTCACTTTGTTCACATTGCCTTTTGATGCAAGTGTTTGTGTCTTGTGTGCGTGTGCAAGCAATCATTAATTGCAATTAGTGCTCTGGTTGTCCAGTGTGTCTGTGTGGGAGGCCAGTCTCTGGCTATCTGCTTAAAAGGCTGAGCACAGATGGAGGCAAGCGCACTGTCGTACTGTACCGGCAAGCTTCACAGAGGACGAAATAAATCAGAAGTACACACATATATGCATTCATTATTCATTATCGGTGCCACAGTGGGGCTAACTGTTTATCACAGAAAATGCTTTTAAAAAGCTATGCAGCTATGAAGCCTTTGCCTATAAAGTGGATTGGCTCTATGCATGTGTATGGTGCCGTATGTTTACTTGGCAGAATGCCTTTATCTACATTTCTATGATTTATACATGCAGCTGCAGCTTAAAGGACAAGACAAAGGGAGTCAGTGTATGCAGACACTGGTTGAATAGCTAGTAGGAGTGGCATCTCTTGTCCCGTTAAGGGAGAAGATACATTAATTCAATAAGATAGCGTTTTACCAAAGCTTTACAGCAAAGCTGGTTTAACTGGTAAAAACAGAAAATAATGAATCATTAAGGGAATCATAACATCTGCTCTAATTAAATACAACATAAGGACCTTAATCAATATTGGATTTCTTATGCAGAAATGCCCCATTAAAATAATTCTGATTCTATTTTCCTCCCAGAGTAAATGACATCCAAGTGTTTTGGTACGGCCTGAATCCTTACAGGAAATGTAGGACTGAGTTGTAATATTAGAATGTGTCATAGCTGTCTTTATAAGTCCATAAAGCTACTCTTTCATGGTGTAGCTTTATGGTGGCATTTGCTACCTCATAGGATCAGGGAAGAACATTTACACTGGATTTGTCGTGTTTGTGCAAATCTAAACCTATTTACCCATTTCAGATATGATCCGAGTCCTTCACTTTCACCCCACTACACACACACACACACACACACACACACGCGCGCACTCAATCCACCCTGAACCCCTCCCCATCTCGGATGACCTTCTCCCTCATGATCCTCTATAACCCTTTTATAATTTGCAGCTCTTCGAAGTCTTCAGCTTCCTGGGGGAGATTTTCATCTTCAGCTACATGGGATATGTATTGTTGACGTTTCCTCGCCATGTCTTTAAAGCTCTCTTCATTACTGGGGCATTTGTATCCTTTTCTTCTACGTGATGGAGCCTCTTCAGTCCCTGCTGTGCATCCTTTGGACCCCAGAAATGATGTTCTGTTCCGGTTTGTTCTGTTTCTGCCACAATCCTTATATGCACAATCTTCTGCCACTTATTTGACAAGAGTGGTTTTCCTGTTTTCTGTCCTTCCTCTCTGCTGCAGTGCAGTTATTTCCCCAAAAAACCCAGCACTTAAATTGTACAAGTTTGATCCGGTGAGCTCTGCAAATGCCATTCAGTCGGTCTCCCATGATCACCATCTCTGCAGATCAAGATGCTGCAGTGAATAGTTTGCGCTGAGGAACGCCTTTAAAACAGACATTTAAATAGATCTTTAATTATTGTTACTGCTGCTTGTTTCTGTTCTCTAGCAAAGCTCGGTGGAATAAAGATGTTTGCCTGTTTGAAATAAGCTCAGAGTACTTAAGTTTGTAGTGGATTAATCAACATATCCCTGTTGGGTTTGAAGATAAAATCTTGTTAGATCTAGAAACTCCAGTGAGAGAGGTTTCTGCTGCTCTGGTTCTGTTCCATGTTCCTGTTCTGGTTCAGGAAAAATCCATGCATTCATCAATGCTAGTGATGAATGCATGGATTTTCTCCGTTTTAGATCACTGAATGTATTTAAGTTTTGGGCTGTTTTTCAAATGATACATGAAATTAGAAGATGCCAACTTAGGCTCTGGGAAATTGTGATGATGAGCATTTTTTATGTGATTCAAAGTGATGTATGTGATTCATTTATATAAATTTGACACAGTTTGACAATACATCCAGATACTTCCAGTGTATCTTCACAAAGAAAAATGTACAGCCATCTTAAAACATCAACCGTAAATGGCAATTTGGGGGAAAAATGCTCAGAATCACAGAGCAAGAACGTGTTAGACCCAAAAACCATGCCGGTAAATTCATTACAGAAGATGTCCCTCTGGCTGGAGTTTCTGCAGACCAGAATGCAATGCAGCTACAACACATGTTATGTAAACACAAAGCCATCAGCCCCATAATGATACTCATCACATGTTAAAATTATACTATCATAACAGATGTTTCGCATTCACAGCTGCTGTGGTACATGTCAGCTTTACTTCCTGAGGGGAACAGAGGGGTAGTAATGCACTGCTGGCTACAGTTGCCCTTGCCTGAGAGCTGGCATGACCATAGCGTATGCCTGAGGAAAGAGTCTAGTGGCCGCACTCCAAGGGCCTGTTCTTTCACAGTCCAGTGCCCAGATGGCCAGCAATTATTATTACAATCCATCTTCCACCATAGGGTCAAAGGGGCCAGAGAAAGAGTTGACAGAGCAGATTCTTTTTCCAATCCTCTTATGTTCAGTGTGAGGGTCTACCAGGGAGGAAATGTTTGACTTGAGCTTTGAGTGGAGGTCTAAGTCTTCCTGTACAATTCTCAAAGTGTCTATAAAAATGAAATAACCCCAGTGATTCAACCCTGTTAATCGCTCTTTGGTTATGCAGTAGATTTGAATCGCCATAGCTAGTCTTTGCCAGTGACAATAGAGATGGGTTTTATTGGAAATGAGGCTGAGATGAAAGTGTTTAATTACCTCAATTCAAATAGCTCAGAGGCCTTTGATGAAGAGAAATTACTGCTTTTGGGAGCAGGATATTGCTTTTGAAAATCCATAGGGTGCTAAGATCTAATATTGAGTGCAGGGTGCGAGGGAGCTCTGTTTTAGTAAAAGCCCTGTCAGACTAAGGTCCGCTGCCTAAAATATTGGTCCCTTCATTATTCCAGGCGACATATTTGGACTTACTGTAGAAAAGCTAAAATCACATCCCCCTCATGATGCTAAAGCAGGGGTACCTATCTGCAAAGATTAATTTAGCACCAAAATTCAAAGAGGATCTGAAAAAGTGTTTTTCTAAAAGAGTTAAAAGCTTGCCTGATCTCTTGCAGCCCGGCCTCCTCCGGTTTATTGCCTCGACACTAACAAGAACCTATCGGAAGATCTCCGGCTGCACTCAGGCACATATGAGGTTTTAAGGGGCTGCAGTAACTTTTCCTAAAAGTATGACAAAAGATGTTAAGTGTATCCAGGATGGCAGCTATGTCCCCGATAATTGTACAGATATCCTCTCACTAACTCCTGCCCAGGACACTTAGCATTCAGTCCCATCCTATGTGAAACATCAAAGTGTGTGTGGAGGGCAGAGACAGCTGGCAGAGCCTGATTGGCTTCATGCCTCGGCATGGTGCCACACTGCTGTGTTTGCATCCTAAATAGAAAATTTTCAGAGATAATTTTTTTTATATGCGTGTGTGCTCGTGCATGTAAGTTGATATTCGCGGGTGTACTTTCACTGCTTGGTCTCACATAGAATAGGTACTTTTGTATTTATTATGGAATTATCGCATGAATAAATGAAGCCAAACCGTATCTATCAATAACTTACGTTAACTTTAACCAAGACTGCAGACTCATGCATGCATTTCAGACAAATGTCTCTTGTTTGTCAGTTTTTCTAATATGAATCAAAGAAATTGTGATTTTCATTGAAAAATAACCATATTTCCATGAGTGTGTCCCAGTCATAAGTATTCTCCTTAATCTGCACTTATTACAAACAGCTCTCCATCTTTGTATCAAGAGCCTGTAACATCTACACCTTTTCATTCCTCCTAAACCTGGGACGAACAACCAAGATACCTCGCACCTTCCAGCACTTCATGATGTTTGCAGGTACAGTGCTTAATAATACTCATCAACATTATTGTGATTTGTTTTAGCAACATTTAGCATTTTTTTTGGACCTTGCTGAAAAATTGAAAACATGAAAATCTCTGGCCTTTATTTGATAAATGTTGGGTCGATGATATTTTTGCTGCAAGAAAACCAATTTATCCCACGAAAACTCGAATGACTTAATTCTCTTCACTGCTAGAAGCTTTTTGCATTAGTGAGGATGCCAAAAGATTGTGTCCCCTCACTACCCTCATTACAAAAGACATTTTTACATAAATCGATATCGTCATAATCTTCAGTTTTTTTTTTTAATGATTCACCCGCAGCCTTTTCTATTTTTGTGTCTGTATTTTGGAGAAGACTAAATAAAGTATCGCCTCACTTAAGTGTCTAATGGTTGAAGCTGTGAGCGGTTTGATGATGCAGGAGAAAGGAATATTCAATGTGAAGTGATGTGGGATAGTGCAGCAGCAGCATGTTTTGCTGCTTGCCTGACCCACTTTACCTCTTACATAAGAAGGTTTCTTTGTAAAAAAAAAAAACCTTGTCTTGCTATTTTTCAAAACTCCCCCACTGCCACTACCTCCTCCCCAATCTGTTTCTCATGACAGCAAAGGATTTGCTTTGTGAATTGTTTTGGCTTAAGGTATTATGTCACCACTGTACAGCAATCCAGAAATTTGTTTTGGGGTTGCTTGCTGGTGAGCAGCTGGTCAATATAGTCAGGATGTAATCTGTTACCCATGGACGGAGCTATTAACTGGATCGCTCTCTCCTGCCCTTTTCAAATAATTGGTTGGTTGTCTGGTAGTTTGATGGATGGCAGTACTACAGCTGTTTACTTAGAAATGTCTTCTCTGCTCTTAGGTTTCAGGGGGGCTGTAACGTTTAGCCTGGCTATAAGAGACACATCCACCGAAGTGAGGAGCACCATCTTCACCACCACTCTGCTGCTGGTCGGCTTCACCATCTGGGTGCTGGGTACCGCTGCTGATCCCATGCTGCGCCATCTGAACATCAGGTCAGTGCTACCACCTCACCGAGTGACATAGTCGGTATGATGCAAGTCAAATCGTTCTGTCTCTCTATCCGGCTGACACACACACACACACACACAGCTTAATTAGACTCACATTAAGTATTCACCCCACTTAATATGCAACAGCTCTTTGTAAAGCTTTTCTCTGGATGCTGTAATGCCTCTCCCTCATCCCCTTGCTGCTCAGCCGTACATGGGCTCTTAGCTCTGCGTGCAGCTTGCCACGCTGTACGCAGAAACTCTTGTATACACTATTCTGTAGCTACTGTATAGAAAGAGAACACATTGTCTGACACAAGTCTGCGTACTATCTGTGATGGCGTGAAGGATGCAAGGCAGTAATTAGATACTTAAATTATTAATGTGTAATCTCAGGCCGAGATTACAGTGGTATAATTGACAGCCACAGGCAGTGCTTTTGACTCTCCAGTGGTTTTCAGTTCAGTGTGTGTGTGTGTGTGTGTGTGTGTGTGCGTACATAAAATGTTTTATGTTATAAAAGAATAATAGAAGAAGTAAATAAAAGCACTGGTAAAAAAAACAGGAAGCAAATCAAGTTCAGTAAAACAGTGAAATTGCCCAATTGGATATTTCAGAACTTTATTAAAAGTGAAAACATAAAAAAAGAATATACAGTATATCCAAAACTGCAAACTCTGGACCATTTTTGAGCATTAAAATGCTCGGTCTCGCTCTCTGAGCTACAAAACACAGACAATGAAGCAGCTTGTGATGTGAAACAAAACCTGGAGGTGCTCTGTTGTCGAAGAATTGCAGATTGTCTTGGGTAATTCAATCTAGCAAGTTGTTTGTTCGAGCTTTTATAGCTTAATTTTATTGTAATGCTAACGTTTATGACCAGACGAAGAAACAATACCTCTGTAATATCCCCCAGAGCATAGTGGATTTGTATCTCCAAACATGAGTCTCTTATTCTGTGTCCGTTGAGCAGCTTAAGGACTTTTTACTCTGTTGTCTCTAGATGCTATCTGCACCAAGAATGTGTAAGAAATGAGGGTTCACAGATTACACGCAGCAACTTCCAAATGCTGGTGAAATCTGTTTCTGGAAGATGAATTCCAAAGGGGTATCAGTAGTTATTAAAACAATCATGCATGAATGCCTTTACTGTTACAGTCTCTCCTGCTCCTGATTGGCCTGTTACTCTGCCTCTACACTAAGTGACTTTCACTTCATGATTTGTGTTGCCTGTCTGTACATCACATTAAAACTAAATATGCAGCAAAGATAAAAGAAGCTATATATATGCCGGGAACGCCACTGTGGGCTGGGGCGGTGTTATCAGCTGTATAAGCGGTTACCGCCAGCCAGCGGGACATGATGGGAGGGACTCGCATGCACTAACATGCCCGGCTACCAAAAAACAACAACAGAGAGGCTCAGATTACAACACACACAAACGGGGTTCGACTTCTCTGCTCGAGACGGCATTACTCCACTCTATCTTTAAATAGCAAATAGTTGTTTGCGGCTATATTAATTTTGACGTGTTATAAGATATTTAAAACACTATGACAATAATTTGTGTTTTGAAACAAATGAGAGAAGCACAAATACAACACGAATACAGAAAATTGTAGAATAATAAATGTAATGTAAAATAGAAATGTGAAACAGCAAATAATAAGCAGAAAATCATGTAGGTACCCATTGATTATGGTAATAGCTTATTGAGTGAATTGGCATCCAGGGCCTTTTAAATTGGCACACAATGGCTGCTTGTGCAGCCGAAACCATAATGAAAATGCATAATGTGACTATTAAAATATATTTATTGGTTTAATTCGATTTTTTGCAACACTTACCATCACCAGCATGCCGTATAAGCCAAAATCTTCACACTTATATTGCTCCTTGCTTGTGCGTGTGCATACATGTGCATATCGTGAGTAGTCTTTCTGGAGACCCATCACAGTACACAGTACATGTTTCAGAGAATAGCTTTGTTTTCCTCACTTCCCGTCCCGAACTCCCTTCTCATCTCCCTTCCCTCATCTGATTGCATGAAGCGAAGGGACAAGTAACAACTTTGAAAGACTTCATTTTGGTGAATAATACATTACATATCTTCACCTGGAGCAAATCTAACTTCCATTCAATCTCTGAAATGGCTTTGTAGAGGAGTCTTGCTGTACTCTGTGTGAAATTACTCTGGTCTGCTTCTCTATAGTAACTTTAAAAGACCTACCACAGCAGGCATCAAATAAAAGAAAAAGAGGTAATAAAATGCCTTTTGTTTCCACAAGAAGCTTGTATATCACAGGTAATAAATAAGGTGCTGGGTGTATGTGTGTGGGTGCTGTAAAGTCTGACGTATGTGTTTTAAATTTCCAATTCAAACAGTAGACAAGTGGACATGTGTCGCAGACAGATGTACTAAAAAACGACTGATTGCGGTTCATACTGTACGCTGGTTTCATCACTATCAGTCCTGCTGAGGTAACCCAATAACCTAGAAGAGCAAGAAAGAAGGTTTCCAACGGCTCTTATTCCCTTTTATAACTGAGGCTCAAAGGAAAAACTTATCAAGTCAATATAGGATGCCATTGTTTGTTCCACACTACTCTGTTATCGCAAGACTCGCACAGCCGGCCCACACATACACAAACACATTTATGCAAACACACACTTAGAAATGCATACCATACAGGGGTAATCTGAGCTGAGCCGGGTGAGCCGTCTGTCAGACTGCAATGTGATATGTGTGTGCTTCGTGTTTAGATAGATGATTAAGGCTCAAACCAGAAGAGTTCTACATAGTAATAAAAACAAACACTGCCTCCGCTTACTGTTCAGTCAGTCGTCAGATTTTGAACACAAACAAAGGCAAATTTCCTTTAATGCCGAGACTGTCTGTCTCTCCTCCTCCTGCCAATTCATCTCTTTTCCTCTCCATTTCATTCTCAATTTCAAGGTACATTATTGCTCACACTTGAGAGTTTCATCATGCCGCTGCAAAATAAAGTGATTAGTTACACTAAACTGCATACAGTAATGAAAATGTATTTTCCACTATTGTGCAATTGATAGTAATTACGAATATATCTCCTCCCAATTTACCATGAAACTGTATATAGGTCATTTTCCCTTTCTCTGGTTCTCGTTTTCATATCTGCATTGTCATGCTTGTTGCCTAAGACCAACCCCACAGACCCTTCAGTCAATGGTGGTTTTACTCTGCAAGAGGACTATCCGTCTAAAATGAAAAAGAAATATGAGAAAAATAGCAATGTGAAAACAAACATAAAGGGGTCTATTGTTATTCAAGTGCAAATGCAAGCTCAACCAACTAACAAGCTTTGGTGTCCAAGGATGAAAGCTCAACCTTGGTGCAGTGCAGCCCAGTCTGAAAGAGAGTCTTTTCTTTTAGCTGTGTATATGTTAAGGGTTACATGGTGGAAATGATAAATATGTCAAATGTGGCAATATGTCTATTATTAGAGGTTACCTCTAACTAACGGAATGTAAATGTATCTTTGGACTGGACTAATGGTGGTTGGGTTTATTTGTGCACAGTATTTGGTGCACCACACCTGGTGCTAATTAATAATTAATGATTGAATATTACTGGCTGTTAGTCAGTAAAAAGAGCTTTATGTGATATTGAGAAGGTTTTGTGTGTGTGTGTGTGTGTGTGTGTGTGCACCTCACAACCGCACTAACTGCTTGTGTTTGTGTTAAGTTCTCCACCCTAACTTGGAGCCATGAAAGAACAACACAGAGCCATGAGGGCAAAACCCTGTCTTTCGCCATGAGGAAACTGGCAATGTGCCAGTCTGCACTATGGAAAACAGCTGTGTTTATTTCTGTGTTCACCGCCACTATTTTTTATTCATGTTGATATGATGTCTTCTTAAGGCTCTCTCAGTCTTGACAGTGCTGTATTAGCTTAAAGTGCAATAATGGGCCACTTACACATTGTTTTCTGAAGTCCACTGAAATAGACAAATTATTGTATAGATTCATATTTTGATAGACTCAACTATTCAGCTGAAAAAACACTGACGCCATGTCACAGTGTTCTGTTTGTTTCTGTCTTTTCTTTTGCCCATGTAACTCTATGCCCAAGCAGTATCACGAGCGCTCACGCACACAATGTAACACCGCCGGTTCTCAGTCTCGGTCTATCTCGTTGGCTTTGATGAGGGCTGGAGGTGGCAGGGCACCCCTGGGGAGATCTGAGGCCAGTCACAATGAGCAGCCTGGGGCCCCTAGGCTTTGAACATTGGTCAGTCATGTCCTCTTCAAGCCCTTTCACTTTCAATATCATTATTTTTCCTCAGCCCAGCTCAGACTAATAGTTCTATTTTGCTTTTAGCATTAGTGCTTTTTGATAGTGTAGCTGTAGATGTGCAGTAGTGATCACAAAGTCATATGGACTTACTGCCTCTGCTCTTCTTTTTTTAATTTTTGCAGTTGTAGCTTTGCTGTATATTCAAACATAAATTTCTGCTGTCCATTCTCGCTTAATATCATGAACGGGCAGATACTGTGTCGATTTTCAGCCACTTCAGCGGCATGACTCTATGGAAACAAGGTTGGTCGTTTGGTTGGTCCAGACAACTAACATGCTAACAGGCTAAACTATGATGGTTACCCTATGATTATTACCTGCTTAATATCAGCATGTCAGCATTGCTACTGGGTGCTTTTTAGCATGCTGCTTTTTGCATTTAACTAAAACCACCACTGTGCTGCAGTAAAGCCTCACGGAGCCGCTTGACTGTAGACGTTTAGTCTTGTCAATTTGCATACTCCAATGAGTGAGAGTGATTTTGACAAGATGAGAAGATAGCTCATGTGCAAGCCATTTCCTCTTTGCAGTTTTGTGAGATGATGTCATGGTGGTCCTGTAGGACGGACAGGAGGCCCTGTCTGTGTGTATGCACATGTACAGTATATGAGCAGGGTTCAAAACTTGGAGGCTAAGAACAGCTGGAGCCCGGCTAATGACTGGCCTT